CCTGGGGGTCTGAGTGAAAGAAAGGAGGTGGAGGGGAGGCAGGCCGACCTTTGCACCATGCTCCAACCTTTTCTGTCTGTTTTATGTTGACCTTTCATGATGCTGTTTGAACACATACAAGCTTAAAAACTATGGCCGTGGACCCTGCTACTGAATGATGTGGGGGTCAGGTCCACGTCTTCTCTCCTAACCTCAAAGAGCAAAGCACCGCCCAGAGCACTAAGTGGGTACCACATACCTGCTCATAGGGTTATCGTTTAAGCTGAAAACTGGGCAGAGAAAGGATGACATGCTCAGGAACTCACACCTGAAAACCTAGTCCGTGGTACGTGGTGGTTTTAAACATGCATGGCTCTCACTCTCGAGAGGTGCAGTTCATCTCCCCGCTGCTCCTTGCATCTGGGCTCCATGACTCGTTGACGAATAGAACATGGTGAGGGCAGGGCACTGTGCCAATTTCTGAGCAGGTCCAGAGTTTAGGAAAGAACAGCTTCCACATCCTGTCTCTAGATGTGCTCTTGGAGCCTAGCTTCATGCCGAGGGGAAGCCACAGCCCCCACCAATCCTACCAGAGAGAGAGCAGCAACTTGCCAGCAGTGTGCACGCGCCTCCTGGAAGTGAATCTGCCCACGCCGTCCAGCGGACACAGCAGGTGAGGGGTGAGCAGGGAGAACTGCTCAGGCCGAGTCCTACCCAAGTTGCAGATTCTTGAGCAAAATAACTGATGAGTATTGTTTGAAGCCACTAAGTTTTGGGGTGGTTTGTCACATGGCCATAGATCATCAGAGCAGATGTCACTGGCAACGGAACAGAGAAGCGAGAGGAAAGAAAGGCCGGAGAATTTCCAACTGTGTTGGTCGACTCAGCTGCCAGACTCATCACCAGGGACCGGGTGGTGTCCACAGCCGGCAGTCACTTCTCACAGTGTGGGAGGCGGGGGAAGGAGGTGCGGGGGGGCAGCCAAGGTGGGGGCCAGCAGATCCGGTGTGTGGTGGAGACTGGCTTTCTAGCTTCGAGAGGCTGTCTCCTCTCTGTGCCCCTCTATACCTGTCTGTGACCAAATCTCCACTTCTTACAGGGAGCCCAGCCAGACTGGCTTAGAGCCCGCCTAACAGTCTCATTTTAACTCAATTACCTCTGCTGAGACCCTATTTCCAAATAGGGTCCCATTCTGAGGTGCTGGAGGTTAGGACTTCCCAGATCCTTTCTGGGAGGATGCCGTTCAGCCTGTGTCACTGGGTTGGATGAGGGGTGAGAGCAGCTTTTAGTGCTTTCATACGAACACATAAATAAAGTGCTCCTAATGCTGCAGGTGCCCCTCTAGGGAGGGGATTGACGTGTTCAGCTTGGCTTATTCTCAAGAGCCGCCTTTCTGAGAGCAAAATGTGCAGCTCCCACAGTCCTGGGATCTCCATGAACACAAAGGTGCGCAAGACTGTGACCTCCCTCAGAAGAAACAGGCCCTGCCACTTACCCTGTTGGCATTCTGATATCACAAGAGAGCTGGCCATTTTATTAAGCACGTAATACATGCTGCAATGTCTTTACATAGATGCTCTGTGTAATCCTTGCAGCAATGCTGGACAGAGGGATGAGATTTGATGCCCGTTCCGCCAGCGGGGAGACAGACACAGTGGAGTCCTGTGGATAACGAGGGATAGGGCCAGGCTGCAAGCCCAGGAAGCACAGCTTAGAAGCCCTGCCCTTAGCGGCCACACGGTGCTGTCCATGGGGCCTGTCTCAGTGCCCAGCACCAAAGGCGGAAATGAAGAAGAACCGGGAAACCATTCTCCAAAGCAGTTTTCATCTCCAAATTGTGAATGAGAACATTCAGACCTGAGAAATGAAGAAAGTGACTTTACATATTCCTATTTTAAAACATGCATTTAAACCTTGAATTGTGCCTGGCAGGCTGTGAGGTTCTCATTACCATTGGTGACCCAAAGACACTGGCCTGCGATCTTCCAGCAGATGATTCTATGGGTGAGAAACAATGAAGAAGTTAACAGAAAATAGTCAAATTGCAATAAATCCTAGCAATAAATAAATAAATAAAGAGTGTGGCAAAGGAATACAACGCAGAGGAGATCATTAGATAGAGTCCTTGGGCAGGGGGTTGTGTGTGAAGGCACGAGAGGAATGCACTGGGCCAAAGTCCACCGCTCTGTTAATTACATCAGTGGTCCTCAGGCAGACTCACACACCAGAATCGCCGGGATGGGGCGGGGTGGGGGACTTGTTAAACAGAGACTGCGGGGCCCCACCCAGAATTACTGACTCAGCAGGTGGGTGGGGCCTGAGAACGTTCATTTCTAAAAATGCTGCTGCTCCTGATCCAGGGACCCCACTTAGAACCCGTTGAATGGAGAAGTCTCCTTTCTCCATTCTCCCGTGTTCGGGGTTTCCTTCTTAAATGTCACAACAACAAAAGCAGAGGAATGGGACTTGAGATAATTCAGCCTCTTCCCAGCACAGCGCTCCCAGCCCATGTCTCCCAGTGGTCGGATCGGTGGCTTCCACAGACACAGGAGGACTCACAATGAATGACAGCCCGGCAGAGCAGCGGCTTCCTGAGACTGATGATCTCATCAGTCCAGACATTAAGGGCTGCCCCAGCTTTCCAGGAACTGCTCTTTTCTGCGCACATAAAAATAGCCATTTCTCATCAACTATTTAGTGGGGCTCGGATAGCATCAGAAACCATTAGCCACATGAAATGGGAGCTTTGCTGTTGGTTAGGGGAAGTGGATGGAAGGGAGGAATCAAAGCCAAAGTCACATTTCCCTCGTTATATTTCAGGGTAGGGAGGCATTTTAGCCCTCGATCAGCCAGTGTGAGCTAAGCACCCAGCTGGGAGCTGGGAGGGTGAGATGAATGCAGGGCTAGCCTCTGCCCCCACGGCTGCAGGCGGGGCCTGAAGTGCACAGTACTCCGTTCCCCACCAGGCTGAGATGAGCCTATTCTCTGCCATCCCTTTGAAATTCTGCATTGCAAGCAGGCGATTCTCTGCTCAATTTAGCCTGGCTGTGGTATCACCAGAACCCCAGTGAATTTCCCATTTCTACATCCTGTCCTACACAGTGTTCTAAAAGCACTCTAAAAAAAATGCCTGTTCTTCAGTGTTGAGTTTGCAAGGAGAGACCCCTAAAAGCTCTAGGACTTGCAGCATCGTGTGCTTGCAAATTTGGAAGAGTTTTTAGGAATTTAATGTGGACATATAAGTTGCACAAATAGGCTGTGTGTGTGTGTGGGTGTGTGTGTGTGCACGTGCACACCCCTCTTATGTGGCTTCTTTTGAAGGGATTTCCAAGCTTTCTTTCCAAATGTTAATGCTGCTGTGTTCACTTCTCCCAGGCCCCAGCATTCAGGTTTAAAACATGGATTTCCACCGTTTTATTCGTTTGTTTAGACAGGTCTTTTTGTTGTACACTTACACTACACATGAGCATCTCTTAAATATAAAAATTCAGCCCACCTCAATCTTGCTTTTTTTTTTTTTCAGGCCCCCAGGAAAAAGTGCTGCTGAGATCATCCAGGACTCAAATTAGGTAAGGGGTAAAAGGACTCTTAGCTTTCCATCTAAAATATATCTAAATTTCTTTATTAGGTGATGGTATTTGAGGCTTCTTCCAAGAACTCTGAACTAATCTTAGGTGACATCAGAGAGTGTGGACATTTTTGCTGAGACCTGAAATGTATGCAAACCCTTAAACCCACAGTGGTTCCTGCCACGTGGTACCTCCCTGCTCACTAAGCCTGCAGCAGCCTCCTCTGTAAAGCTGGTAGCTACTTTGTGGCAGTTCAAGGAGAGGACCAGCCCTCGTGCACCGTCACATCCTGATACATCCTGACACATTAATGTGTCACATTAATGACATATTGATGCCTCCTCCCAAGCAGTGGGGAAGCATGAGGGTCATGCCTCTCGATGATGGAGTAGCGTGAGTATATTCTTTAGGGTCCACCAGAGAAACGGAACCAGTGGGTGTGTAAATGTAGAGAAAAAAAAGCTGGCTCTCACAAGTAGGGACGCTGACGGGTCCCCAGATTTGTTATTTTCAAGGTGAAAATCCCTTCAAACTTCCAATTTGAAGCCTGGCAAGCTTTAGACTCAAGAAAACTGATGTTCAATTTGAGTCTGAAGACAGGAAAAGACCAATGTCTCAGCTCATGCAGTCAGGTGGACATTCCCTCTTACTCAGCCTTTTTGCTCTCTTTAGGACCTCTGTGAACTGGATGAGGTCTTCTCCTTGGGGACACCCCCTGATTTACTGAGTCCACCAATTCAAATGCCAGTCACATCTGGAAACACCCTACACACCCGCCCAGATAATGTTTGGCCAAATATCTGGGCACCCTGTGGCCCAGTCAAGTTGAAACATGAAATTAACCATTATACTAGGTATGCGAGAGGTTACGGGATGCCCCCAGATGCAATGCCCTGGACAGGCAGGTGGGGTTCACTGGACATCTGAGGGGCAGCCAAACCTGCAGGTCCTGCAGACTCTGCTAAGGGGACAGCTTCACCTGCCAAAGCTCCCGGCCCCAGACAGTTTCTGAGAGCTGCGGCCATAACACCATGGTCACCTCACCCCAGCACAGCCACATGCAGTCAAATTTTCCAGACCATTCCCCCGAGACCGCCCAGGAGCTTGTATGACCAGGCACTGCCTGTCATTTCCACCTGATGAGCTGTGTTTCCACCTGATGTAGCTGTGGTTCAAGGCAGTGTTGGCTCATGGGGCTCAGCCACACCTCGGAGGTCAGAGATCAGCTCCACCAGCCACCTGGCTGCCTGCCATCCACATGCCAGGGTAGTTGTCTCTGTGTAACTCACATGCTCCGCAGCCACTTCTCCAAATGTGCCGGTCTTTGTGGAACACAAAACACTGATGGCCTGGATTGGACTTGGGAGACGTCTCTGCAACTCTGCATAAATGTGTTCCAGCCTCTTAAAGGATCTGGAAGGTTTGAGGTTCTAAATCTTTTCTCCCTTGTTCTTTCTCAGCGCTAACTTCTCAGGGTCCTTCCCTACATTTCATCTGGACCCTGAGGAAGTCAGCACTCCAGGCCATGTAAGGCTTCAACCCCTTGTCCAGCTGTGGAGCAGAATGTACCCTGCAAAGGGGAAATTTGTAATCTGGAAGGTCCCGTGGCTTCTCCAGGCTTGAGAAGCTTCATCTCCAGTGGAGATGGTTGAGAGAGGTGGTGAGGAGCCTCCTTCAGGCTTTGTGTGCAGAGAAAGCCTCTCACTCCCCAGGACGGACAGTCAGACGGGTACACCATCTGCAGCAAGCCTGCAAGAAAGTGTCTGTCTGGGCCCTGCAGCGCACACTGGAGTCTGCACAGTGAGCCTGGGTACAGGTGGGCCGGGGGGCTGCGGTGCTGAGCCCAGCCTCCATTCCTCTCCTATAGCTGGGCTCCTGGAGGGGGCACTGTCCCCCCACACAGCAGTCACAGGATGCGCGTTGGTTTCCACCCCTGTTATCTGGAGGGTTTTGTATCTACTTTCTCTGTGGGTGTTTCTTCTCAGCATTAGAGACAAAAAAACAAAAGTAGCCATACCTCATGGCTGAAAAGAGACAGAGATTGTTAAGCCTGGCCCTGGGTTCCCCACCTGGGACTCCACAGCCTCCCCATCCCCAGTCCTCCTCCCCAACCCACCATCTCTTCCTCATTCTACCTTCCCCAACCCATATACCCCTTCCTCCCCACCCCATATCCTCCCTCCTTCCCACCCCATATCCTCCCTCCTTCCCACCCCATATCCCCCCTCCTCCCCACCCCATATCCCTCTTCCTCCCCACCCCATATCCTCCCTCCTCCCCACCCCATATCCCCCTTCCTCCCCACCCCGTATCCCCCTTCCTCCCCACCCCATATCCCCCTTCCTCCCCACCCCAAATTCCCCTTCCTCCCCACCCATATCCCCCCTCTTCCCCACCCCAAATTCCCCTTCCTCCCCACCCATATCCCCCCTCCTGCCCACCCCATCTCACCTACCCTACCTCCCCACTCCATCTTACCCCTGCTACCTCCCCATCTCCCTGCTCCCAGCCATCCTCCCTGGCCCCATCTCCCCATCCCACCCTGCACCTGGAAAGGAAGGTGGCTCTGTGCCCACACCTCACACTTGGGGAGGGGATTCCTGGCTGTTGCCAGGCCAGCCTTGCCCATGCTCTGAAATGGGGCACTCCAGCGTGTTCTCTGCAGCTGCCTGGATGTGTCTGCTATCTGTGGTCCATTACCCTAGTGAGAGGGCCACCCAGCTTCTGCAGTGACAGCCCCTGGCTGCCCCCCCAGGTGAAGTCCTCCCCCACTGCCAGGGCTACAGCTCCCTCAAAGCATAGAACTGTCCCTCCTCATGTCTGTACTGCCAGCCCCGGACCCGAAATCAACCTTGAAGTTCCTCCCCGGGTCAGCTCCTCCCCATTGCTGGCCACATCCTAGAAGCACCGGCCACGTTCCTGAGGTCAAGCCCCAACTTCACCTTGCCACCGGGAGTTGCTTCCCCAAAACAGGGGGTGGTCAGACTTCAGAACAAATTTCAGTTCCCAGCCTGGAAGATGAACAAACAAGGGCTCCTTGAAGTGTTTTAGGTGGGAGTCCATCCAGATGAAAAAGAAACTCAACTCCAAACTTCACTGACCCCCTCTGATGAGCCCCAGTGCCAGAAAGGAGCAGAAGTGTGTTCAAGACCACAGCTATAAAGGGCTGGGCGGCACCAGGCTCCGGATTCCTGCATCCAGGCATCTCTGTTAACACTTTCCAGCAAAGCCACAGGTCCCCATGGGGTTCAAACTCAGCTCTGCAGCTCAGCAAGCAGGGAACCCCTCATTTGGCAGGAGATGCTCAATGTGACCGAATGGATGAACTGCTTTCCCTGGATCATCCAGGGACGGCCCCACGCATTTGTGGATTTAGCTTCCAGACTCCTGCTGTCCTGCCTTCATGCATGGCTGATGATCTAAAGTACTCATTAATATTTCTTTAAAGTTAAATTTCTCAGCACATGTCAGGGTGGAAATTCTATCCATCCTCCATATGCCGGGCATCATTCCACAGCAGCTGGATGGGGAGGAAAGCTTAATCTCTCGGAACCTGCATAATATCTTTATAAAGGTACAGCTGGGCAAATGTCATAAAAATGTTCAGTTGTGGGTGCTGAGATGTCAGATGCCTTGCGTGCTTCCTCACTGCCAGGACACACTCCAGGGAAATCCCGGGTGCGCTTGAGGCCACATGACACACACAGAATGCAGGCAGCAATGCCTTGCCTTGGAAGGATGAAGCGTTTACAGTCTTGATCCTGGAAAAAAAATTAAAAAACGACTGCCTTGAGAATGTGATGGATACTGCCCCTACAACCTGATGTTAAAGCCAAGATTTACTTAGAGCTCAGGAAAAGTCACTTGAATGATGGGGGCTTTTGCTGATCCCTTCGTTTCTCTGACTAACTATGGAACTCATAGATCTGTGTTTCCCCACAAGGATTGTCTGCCCCTGCCATTTGTTTTTTCTTTGTTATTTCTGCAGAGGCAGAGCTGACTGCTGCCTTAAACACTTTTGACAAATATCCCTGGAGCTAAAACCAATAGCCCGAAAGTCACACCCAGGAACCAAGCTCCTGCTGCCTGCTTGGGGAACCATCAAGTCATTTTGCTCCTGAATTCCTGCCATGCACTGGTTTCTTTTTTTTTTTTGAGATGGAGTTTCGCTCTTGTTACCCCAGGCTGGAGTGCAATGGTGCGATCTCAGCTCACCGCCCCCTCCGCCTCCTGGGTTCAGGCAATTCTCCTGCCTCAGCCTCCCAAGTAGCTGGGACTACAGGCACGCACCACCACGCCCAGCTCATTTTTGTAGTTTTAGTAGAGACGGGGTTTCACCGTGTTGACCAGGATGGTCTCGATCTCTTGACCTTGTGATCCACCCGCCTCGGCCTCCCACAGTGCTGGGATTACAGGCGTGAGCCACCGCGCCCGGACGCACTGGTTTCTTGTATTGTTCTTTGCACACGTATGAGATGGGGTTATGCTCAGGCCCATGGGCAATCAGCACCCACTAGATATGGCAGGTGAATCTATTGTCTGCTCTGCATAACATATTCCCCAACACTCCTCACTAAAAGCAACAATAATCTTTTATCGCCTCTCACAGGTCCTATGGGTCAGAAATTTGGACAAGGACTGGCAGGGTGGCCTGTCTTTGCTCCATGGTGTCTGGACCCTCGACTGGGATACTCTAAGCAGAGACAGGGACCATCTGAAGGATGTTTCCTTGTAGATCTGGTGGTCCATGCTGGTTGGCAGTTTTTAGCTAGAACACCCACACGTGGCCTCTCCTTGTGGCCTACGCTTCCTCAGAAGATAGTGGCTGCGTTTTAAGAGCAAGTGTCCTAAGAGTGAGAGAGACAAGAGGCCAACGCAGAAACTGTAATGACTTTGATGATCTGGTTACAAAAGGCACACATGACCACCTCTGCCGTATACTATTGATTTAAACAGTTACAAAGGCCTGCCTAGGTCCAAAAAGAGGGAACACAGCCCCCAGCACCACCCAGTGAGGATGGTCTATAGATAGGTCTGATCATATTCGGAAAATGAGATCTACCGCAATGGCAGACGAGCAGAGCTGACTGTCCAGACCGTCTCCTGCAGTCAACACTATGCCGCTGTGGTGTCCGTCAGCCTTGCTTAACATCTCTCCAAAGCCCAGTTCTCTGTCAAGACAGTCTGTGATTCTGCTCAGTAAAGAGTGCTGGATGGCCTGAGTCCTCTCTTGGGATTGCTTTTGTGCTTCTCAGAGATGAATATCTGGAATTTTAAAAAGGAAGAAAGATAGCTAGTGCCTTCAACATCTCCCTTCTCTGAATCATTACCGATTGAGCTAATGACCACTGATAGTGAATTGGAATTCCTCTGAGCTGACGGCAGGCGCTGTGGTGAATAATTGCTGGCATATTGTTTTACTGTGTTCAAGGTCTGCGAGATGGAAATGGCTCATCGCAAAGATGCATCACCCACAGAGAGAGGCCGCACTGCACAACGGCCTGCCTGGGGCAGCTACCTCGGCAGCCAATGGGAGCTCAACCTGGAGCTGAGCTGCTCCCAATGACCACTCCCCGTTTCTCCAGACACTCTGATGGTCACTGTCTCGGTGGGGCATGTACCAGGTATGGGGTAAGTGGGCCGCCGTGATCTAAGCCCCAGGTCATGCCTCTGCAATGCTTCATGCATGATGGGCATGGCCCAACCAATCCAAAAAACCAGGCCCTGGGTGATGAGGCTTTTCTGTCTACCCACTAATTACAGTTTTTAGTGAGCTGTGTCTGGCCACAATTCCAAAATTCCATTCTGACAGCCTACACCATGTTCTCCAGCAAGGGAGCCCTTTACCACGCGTCAGTGTGTGGGATCAAGTAACACAGACAGATAGATCAAGGCCGCTGACAGTCTTTAATGAAGTGGCGGGGGCCGGAGCTGGGCAGGCTCCTCTCCAGGCCTTTGTTTTGTGTGATGCAGGCCACGCTGGAGACTCAGTTGGTGGATCACAGAGGCATAACCCTGGGCACATAAATGCTCAAATAATCTGACTCTCTTGGTTCTACAGAAGCAAACAGCACAGTGCGAGGGAGGATTTATGACTTCTTTCCGGCAGATTCTCATTTGCCTTGAAGAATCCAACAGAGGGCCGCTGCCTGGAGGAGCCCACACGCTGCCAAGCATTAATCAACTCTGCAGAAAACCCACCAAGGACACTGTGTTGCAAGGGGACAGCTTTGAACTCCAGCTGCCACAGCTGGGGGAACATTTGATAGGGGAAAGCAATAAACAGCGGCGGGGGGAAGGTCATCTGGCTGAGAGTATTTGGGAACGTTCCCCTATAGGCAGTAAAACAAAACACATTTACATCTGATTGTCTCTCTTCCTGCATGATCAGTTTCTGCCTGATGCTGACTAGGAGCAGAAATATAGGCAAGCAGAATTCAGAACCCTAGGGTGGGGTGAAAACACTCGGTTTTTTAAAAGACTTTGAACAACAACAAAGACAGACAAAGAATTCTCCATGGCTATTCTGCCAGGAAGTGACCCACCAGTGCAGCTGCAGAAGAAAAACCATCCAGGGCTCAAGACCAAGGAGGGAGGTTGTCAGGGCCTGAGCCTCCCTTGCCTCAGGTTTCCTGATGCTCTCAGGGCTGGGGGAATGCTGAGGTCATGCAGAGGTGACTGGATTGAACCCCCGTGCACACATTAAGTCCGTAAACCGCACTGTACCATTCCTACCAGGTGGTACTGGCTCTTTTTCTCTGGCCATACTGCTTTTTTGTTGGAGTCTTTATAAAACCACCCCTTCCTAAATCCAATGCACTAAATGCTGCAAGGGGTATAAACATAAAGATCCGCCCTCCTTCATCCACAGGAGCAGTCCATAAGAGCAGAAGGAGGTAGAAACACAGCACAGAAGAAACTTGCAGGAAGAAAATAAATTCCACAGGGGGCAGACAAGGCCACACAATTCTGTGCCAAATGCCACATGGCCCCCGATCCTAGAATGCTGGGCTCATCAAGACCTTATAGGTATCGGTGACAGTGTTTTCTCTTTTCGTCTTTGTTGTTGTTTGCTTGTTTGTTTGTTTGTTTGAGACAGAGTCTCACCCTGTTGCCAGGCTGGAGTGCAGTGGTACCATCTGGGCTCACTGCTGCAACCTCCACCACCCAGCTTCAAGTGATTCTCCTGCCTCAGCCTTCCTAGTAGCTGGAACGACAGGCACATGCCACCACCCCCAGGTAATTTTTGTATTTTTAGTAAACAGGGTTTCACCATGTTGGCCAGGATGGTCTTGATAGCTTGACCTTGTGATCTGCCCACCTCAGTCTCCCAAAGTGCTGGGATTACAGGCGTGAGCCACCACGCCTGGCCACAGTGTTTCCTCTTAACGTTAGTATTTAGTGGTGTCACTATCAAATATTTTAACCTCAGAAGACCCATAAGTGACCTGACCAAGGGCATCTGAAGGCACATTTTATGATCAGGCTGCTTCACTCAGAGGAAGCCCCTGCACAAGGGTGCATCTTCTCACTTGGGCTTCCCATGGGCTCTGATTCAATGAAGAGCACCAGGTCAGGACTGAGACATGGTCACATTGATGCCAAAGGGATGCCATGCCACCCTGACACTGCCATGCAGACTCAGGTCCAATTCTTGGCTTAAGGTTCAGTTCTTCACAAGTCCGTCTCACTTCAGACACCAGCCACAAGCTCAGGGTCCCCAGATCACCTATGCTTCTGCCCAGCCAATAACAAATTCCAGGGTTCCCATCAAGTTTAATCACATGCTGGAATGACTCACAGAAGTCAGGAGAGCTCTAGAATCACAATTATATGGGATATATCTTGGGACCATGAAGATGAGAGACACAGAGGGTAAGATTTAGGAGGATTCCAAATATGAAGTTTTCATGAGCTCAGGATGTATCAGTCTCCTGGCACATGGACGTTTGACCAACCAGGGACGCTCACCCGAGCTTCAGGTGTCCAGAGTGCCTATTGGGGTCTCA